GTGTTCTAATGAGATGCGCTGGTGACACTGGACTGTTCCTCACATAATGCCCAATACCCAGGCACATACAGGGAGAGGGAAGAAAGTAACTGGGAGAATTTGGGAGGGAACTGGGTGACCTCCCCTCACCCTAAGGAACAGAGAGCAGCTGAACTCCTTTCAGCTCAGCTTGATATTGTATTGAGAACGTATGTTCCTCCCTGGTTCCAGCTGCCTCTGTAAGCACTTCTATTCTTGCTTGGTTCCTGTTGAGACTAAAGCTATCAGACACTTAACCAAACAACAGACAGTATTTTCCTTGGGTGTTAGAGTGGATTTTTGGTTTTCCAAATCTGTGGTTTTTAATCCCAAAAGCTGCTTTGAGTAAGGGAGAGAACAAGTAACGAACAGAACCTAAGCTCAATAATTTTTTTTCTGATGCCCGGCTTTTCTTTTGGTGCTAATACCATTGTTTTGAGATAAAAACAGGACCATTATCCAACTGAAAAATCAGCAGGCACCCTTGTTCCTTGTAGGGTGATACACTGCAATCATCTTTGTATTGTCAGACAGCCTACTGCTCCTGCAAGTTATTCATGTGCAAGGAGGGAGATGCTAATGCCACTGTGCACACTGGTGGTGCTTGTCTGTCTAACAAGTGATGTAATTCACTGCATTTCTTGTATTTCTTCTCTTCCCGTATGCCAGCCACCAGCCTGCCTTATTCTAATTATAACAACATATGCAGCTAGATGTGCTTTTCATGCTCATTTTATACTTCGAGCTTTGCATGCCTTTCTGCCCCAAATCTCCCTTCTTGTGGCATTTATTCCCAATTACATCCACATGTTGGACATTGTTAGCTGAATAAAAACTGTAGCAACTATAGGGTAACCCAGAAAAAAAAATACAGCAAGGCAACTAGAATTTGCCAAGCAATGGTATTCAACAGGTTTATGGTTAAGTTTTGCAGAAGGTGAACAATCAATCCATTTTTTTAGTCCTTTCTAAAATTTCAAGACAACTCTCTAGCCTTGTGTGACTGACAGGTTAGATTCCCTTTACAGTTTCGCTTCTTGTGTATTCTATTAAATAGAATTTCCTTGGATATTATGAGTGTACTATGCCTAAAACATTTGCAATAAAATTTCAAAGCTATATTTTTATGCAATTTTGATGAAGGAAGCTTTCAAAAACTTTACAGGTATCAGAACCTATGGTTAGACATGAGGCCACTTTTTGTCTTTCCTAGTTTTGAGTAATACACATTATTTGGAGGTGCCATTAACATCTTTTCCACAGCATTTCAGTTCTTTGGTGGTGTTTTTCTGTTTCATCCATCTATTTAAGGATCGCTTGTATTAACTTTTAGTAACAGCTGATGATCACCACATATTTCAAAAAAACAGAACCACAGCAATGTTCATTCAGTGACCCATTCCCACTTCTTTCATATATCACCCTTCTTACACTTGTATGTAGTATATTACTCCATTGACTCTGTTTTCAAGGCCAAGTCTTTAAAATTTGAACATTCAATACAATGTCTTTCTTTGTTAAAAAATATACTTTGGACAGCAGCTAGATTTTAGTGTGCTAAAACCACCAACTCCCAGAGCAAACATTACTGTTATTTTATTCCCCTGGTACTCCTGCATATTTGTATAAATATTTGCTGGTTGCCTTTTCTGAGACTGTAGGAACATTGGAGCAAGAACTGCATCATGGCAGTTTGTGTCATGAAAAGCACGACTAAGTGTTACAATAATACTAATATTTCCTAGTAATTGCAGTCATGGGATTTTCCTATGCATACAAGTTTGGTTTTTTTTTTTTTCCTGGTGTGTACTCCATTATAAAAATGAAATTTAGAAAAAAAAAAAAATCAAGGCTAGGGAAAACAAATAAAGAACAGACTAAACGCTGAAGAGTTTCACCATCCTGAACTAGGACTAAAAAACCAACATAAGTCACACAATTCAAAAGCAGTCATAGAAATAATCTCAAAATTAGGAACACTGTTCTCATATTAAAATTTTAAATTATATTTCCAATATTAGTTTAAAAAAAATCAAATTCTAAATCAGCTTTAATTAAAAAAGTTGTCAAAATTTTTTTTGAAGTGTAATATGTATTTTTCTAGAATCTTTCAAAATTATACTTTCAAATTAGTGATTTCTGTTTTGACTAACTGGGTTTTTCCAACAAAAGTGTTTTGATAAGAAATTCCTAAACCAGGTCAAGTAAAAAGTTATTTTTCAAAACATGCTTTTGTCTTCCTGACAGCATCCTCCATGTGGAAGTAGGAACTCTTAAAATTAACAGAAGGTGTATGTGGAGGATGAAAGAGTGCTCCAAATGCCAGATCTATCATTTATATTATTAATATGTCAGATCTGCTGCATATGAAGAGCCAGAAATGATGGTACAAATTTGATGGTGTTTCTGTACAATGCATAGCTCTCATGATGTATGATTCCTGAGGTGATGTTGAAAATGTGATGAGGTGTCCATTTAAGACAGAAGGAATGTCCTGAGTAAGGAGCAAAATGGGATCCAGGACTGTGACAACTCCATGCAGGGGAGGAGGGAAGCAAGCATCGATTTACTACATTTTAATGAATAGCAGTGTGAGGTTAAAAATAAAACCAGCAAGAACAGCGCAGCTTTAATGAAGAGATGGAGAATGTGTCAGCTCAGGAAGCTCCAAGGCCAGGCTAACTCCAGGAGACAGGGCTGCCTTTCTTGGCTTCTCTCTAAATAAAGGTGCACTCTGGCCATGCAGAACAGATGAGTTGGAGCCTGGGCTTCCATGAGAAAGAGATCTGTCCAAGAAATCCTGGGAAGCTAGCAGAAGAGACTGATGTAAACACAAAGTATTTTTCTTTTGCAGCTTTGTTCCCAAGTTTCATAATAAGAGAATTACTGCATGATTTGGATGTTACCCCCCACAATGTTGTAGATGAGTGTAACTGCCTGCAAAGGCTAAATTTGGATATTTAGCACCCGTTTCCCAGCAGACTGCACAGCTCAGCTTGGGGATTGGAAGCGGTGTATCAAGACACAGAAGGAAAGCCTCAGTTAATGTACTTGAACTAATATCCCTCCAGCAGCAGACAGAAGGTGGAAATGTACTGTGTAGTTTTGGGCAGCCACATATTGTGACTATCTATCTCCTTGGCTCTCCTTTTTTTGATCTACACCTTAAGATCTCGTGAAAACGTACATGTGAGAAAAAGTCTTATACTGCCATCATCCCTAGGGTCAGTTGATAGCTTTCAATGTTAGTTGCCTAGACAAATGCCTAAGAAGAGCTGAAGGAGGTCATGGCAGTTGAGTGAATTGTAACATTTCAGTGAAAGAGACAAATGCACCTCAGGCAATATTTTATGTGCCACTACTGTTCCTGTGCAGGTCTTTCCACTGCCACTTGATGCCCCGTAACTGGGCCCTCACTGTACCACTATTACTAGAGTGAAAGGTTGGTGAGAATGATTTAATCATTTGTGGTTGCTGATCTACCCAAGAAGGGCCTTTGTGTCCTAATTTTTTTTCTGAATGCCATGAGGCAAAAACCAGGACACCAAAGGCAGCCCTTATCAATCACTTCACTAGGAACATGACCATACTCCAAAACACGTATTAATTATCACAAAACCATCACACGTGCAAGCACACTCCTCTACCTCACCTACTCAGAAAACTCACATACTGGCATCTCTTGCATTTTCCTTTCCAGCTTTGTTTACATCCTCTGAGATTTACATTCCTTCTTTAGCCCATGCAAAGGAAGAGATATTCCTGGCATCTGTGTGTGCATTACCATGGTTACCTAGTTCATCTGCAGCAAAATGGGTTGGTCCATGACCTGACACTGCAGCTCCAGGAGTGTGTTCCTCCCTTGTCCACTGACATGCAACCTCTCCAGCTGCAGCTGTTTTTTCAGAAAATCTGAATGCAAGCAACAGTGGGGCATCCAACAAACTCTCCCAAAGTCCTCAACACATTTTTTTGCCTATACAGTTTGTCTCTAAGTGTGTTTTTTGGCAGGCCCAGTCCTTGCTTTTCAAGCAATTTTTCCAGCAAGCCGTCATCAATAGCATACCCATGGATTCTACCCGCTGCATTTTATTTGAGGATGCAGTATTACACTTGAAAATTTAGCCTCAAAAGCATGCTTACAAGAACACCTGCGACTACACAACAACCTGGGTCTGTCAGGGAAGAACAAAAGTTTGGGGTGCAAGAATGAGAATCGTGAAGGCTTAAACAAGGGTCTCAGCTGGGTGGGGGGAACAAACAGCTTCCTTCCATGAAAGCAGTTTGGGTTTCATTGGTGTCACAAATTTTACAGTACGAGTTGAAGAAACTGTCATCTACTGAGATATTAGCAAACCAGACATCAAACCTAAATAAGCTCTCAATATCAAATGAGGTATAAACAACAAAATATTGATAAAATATAATGAAGATATAATTCAATCCAGGCAGAAGTCATATGTATCTCCAAAACTGGCTCAAATTTTCACTGAAACAGAACTTATCAACTTCATTTTTTAAGCAACGTCATTCTCAGAGTTTTTTTTCCAGGCAATATTTATAACAAAACAGATATGTGTACTATTATGAAGAATCTTTGTTCACATCATTCATCTATTCCTATAATTTATGTTTCTAATATTCATAACAAATTTGACCTAGTTTAAGAAACTTAAAGCCATGATGTAATCTCTGGAAGTGGTACACGGAATATGTGTACCACACAATGTCAAGGCAAACACAGATGTATCTTATGGTGATTCTGAAAACACAAATACCAATGAATCTCTGTGAGGAAAGCAAAAGCTGGCAAAATTCAAAATGGCTTTGCAGTCATATAGTTATGTAAAATAAAGTTGTGAAGTTCGCCAGACTTGATTTAACATGGCTGAAACAGAGTGGGTAATTTGTTTGCATTTGAACAGCAGAAAAGATCAGTCAAATGAAAAATGTACACAAAAATGACCAACTTGTACACGTACCTTTCCCATTTATTGTTAATGCTGATGCAATTGTGGCTGTTACTGGCACTGGCAATTGTGGCACTAATGGGTGTATCCTTGGTCGGCTCCCCATCCTAGCACGCTCTGCACCAGGTCCTAATAACGCTCCCACTGGTTTTTCTGCTGCTACTTCTGGTGCTACAGAGTCTTCTTGATCCTGTTCTATATGGTCCATTTTATCCGGGCTTTCATTCTGGAAGCCATCAACTGTTGTCCGGCTCTTAATTGGACTTTTGGGCACTAGGATTTTAATACCTGATTTTGCAAGGTCCATATTTTTCCTTCCAGAAAGAGATGGTGAGTTGTTTTTCCGGAATTTCTGGGTGGCAGAAAAGAGTTGATTATTTTTTGACTCATGGTCTTTACCCATAACTAAAGATTTAGTAGATGTCTTTGAAAAAGAACTATTGGTAGATCTAGAAATTTGTTTTCTGGCATTATTTGGAGAGGTCCTGTTTGTCCTGGTTAATGTGCTTTCTTTCTGCTTTTCATTATGGCGTCTGTTAAATTCATGTATATATTCCTCACAATTAACAAGGTGCTGTTCTGGCTCCCAAGTATCATCTTCACTGTCGTATCCTTTCCATCGCACCAAGTACTCTGTTTTTCCCTTCTTGTTTTTCCTCTTGTCAACGATTCTCTCTACCTGTTAAAAAGGAAAATTAAACATTAGACATGGGCAGATACACAACTCAAGTGAGCAACTTGCATGCAAGTAATTTGTTGAGTGTAGACATGTTTTAAAATACTCTTGTAGTTCTGTAATTCTGTATTGTAGCTCTATAGCTTAGTCTTTCACTGCTGACTGGAAATTCCTCTCTTTGAATTTCAGATTGTTACTTCCATCTCATAAAAGATGTTCTAAAATACCAAAATTGTTCTTCAGTAAGTATTTGTATGCACAAGAAACTGAATATGACATATTACAATTGACAACCAGCACTGGCCCCAGCGAAGTTTTGACACCAACTTCAAATGGATAGGATTTCCCTCTCTGAATATAGAGATCATGTTTAAATATGCTGTATAAACACAGTGTGTTTATCTTACAAAACTTATCAATTTAATATTGTTTTAATAATTTGCTGCCTAGCATAAGGCATAGGCGAGAATCTCTTACTTACAGTAAGCTGTCCTTTAGTTACCAGGGACAATATGGTATGGCTCAGAAATTGGGGCAAATACAGAAGATTTTTTTTTTTAGAGGTGGTTGTTCTTGTGAAAACAGAGAACTTGTTTTGGCCAGAGTCTTTGATACACATACTTGAACAAATTACCATGCCTCGTTTATCTGCAAATAGAGATGATATTTATGTCACAAGTATTAAGCATGCACATGCTACAACTGCACGTGGGACCTACAGGCTAGAGGAATTCAGGCACCAGGGTAAAGCAGACAGGGCAGACAGCAGCAGCTGCAGGGACAGAGGCTCATGCCTCGTACCAAAACTCCTGCCAGTCATGCTAGTCCCACAGAAAGGGAATTCTTTTACAGAAAGAGAGATGTAAATGCAAGGCTAATCTTGGGATTTCCCCTTTGCGTTTCATTTTTCCTACCCAGGCTGCTCCTTCTGGTAAATCCTCCAGGCCACTTCATTTCGGTTATGGGACCAATACAGGTTTCTTCCCCATCTTTATCTTCCTTTTTCGTTATTAAAAAAAAAAAGTGGGGCGGGGGGGTGGATGGGATGGAACTACCACTTATTAACTACTAGCCCTAGTGCTTAGCCTCTCACAAACAAAGACCATGCATGTAAGCTAAGATCACACATAACACCTAGGAGAATCTCTGAAGACCAGTAACTTTTACTGCAGTGGCATTTAACTGAATGGAATGTCTACAGAACAGTTTGGAAGGACAGAAGGAAAATACAGGTATGTATGTCATTACCAAATCATATGACTGTTGACAACAGATTCTCTTAAGAGTGCACCTCAGTTTTATACATGACGTTATCATAACGTACTGCCTGGTTTTCAACAGTGAGGTTAAATGATTACTATTATTATAATCTCAGCAGCAATGTAACTACACATCCTAGAACTTCATGTGATACCCTGCAGGTCTTGTACTATGCTGTCCTGTCATTAGGATGTTGCATAGCTCTGTTTGCATAGGTCTTAAAAAAACCCAAAACAACAACATACAAATAAAAACCAAACACAAACTGTCAGACTAGCTCCACCTTTACCTTGCTACTCAGTTGTACAATTCAATACATTTTATAGAGAGTAATGCAATATAAATTGTCCAAATATTATTTCAAATGTTAAAATACTTTAAAACTATTTTTATTCCAGTTATTTCACTTTTTATTAAAGTTACTGGACTTAAAAAAACATACAGCTAGAAAAATGAAACTATTATTTTTCCACAAGACTATATTTAAGAACGTCTTAACAAAAATGCTACCCCAAATAAGAAAGTCATTATGGAAAAATATGCCTTTTTTTTTTTCTCATAGAGACTGAGTAAAAAGACCTTCAAGTATTAAGTCAGAAATGTTAAATTAAAACATAAAAACAAACGCATGAATCAAACTTGATATATTGTCAAAAAAGCAGTTAGTGCAATAGTCTTGCTTATCCTCTCCCCCTGTCTCAACCTTCTGAAATAGATTTTAAAAATACAGTTCTCAGAGAAAGTGCTCTGCTAGTAAGAAGGTATTTTTATTTTCTAGCAGGAAATCTTTGTAACAAACAGCATCAATTACTGGGCACAAAGTTCTATTAACACCTTTAAATACTGAAAGGCCACCCATTAAGGACATATCCTTTTCAAGTAGGAAGCCATCCCTCTCATCCAAAAAAACAGATACCTTGCAGAGATAACAGATGAACTCTAGAACAGGAGACACAAAAATCCATTCCTAACCCAATGATTTATAAAGCAAACAGAAATGCATAAAGAAAACTATTATATTTAGCTGTAGTGTCCAAGCCTGCAACAAAACCTACTTTGACATTGTTCTTTTTGATTAAAAGGAGATTTTTTTCCCTAACAGCTTTTTTCTATTTTATTTACAACACAAAAATTATAACAATTAATCTGTGATACACAATTTATCATGTGGCTTGAGAGCTTTAGTGAGGGACTTTTTGGATTGCCTCAGCTTGTTTAGTCTAACTCCCCCAGGATCACTTGAAAAACTGCTCAGGAATATTCTGCCTCAATACTTTTAGTGATGATAACAGCTACATGTGTTTTTCACCCAGATTTGGGAAGAGGAAACTGGAATGCTTCCACAATGCATACAGGGTTTGAGTATAGGACAGGAATAGGAATATCCATGCTGAACTAGTGGCTTATTTAAACTCTTTCACGGCAAAAACAGAGACCACAAACTCGTACTTCTCCT